AGTGGGATTGACCGTCACATTATAACACCCTCACGGCTGAAAGGGCGAGCATGCTGGGCTTAATGAAGAGTAAAACAGCTTAAAATAAGTTTAACATGATTTATTACGGACTAAGAAAGCGACAGTAAACTTTACAGTGGGAACTTATCAAAAGTATAAATTTCGGGTCACATTTTCCCTATGCCTAGATAAATTATTCTGAGTGACCCATATTATTGTTCATCAAACAGAATGTTCCCCAGGTATATGCGCCTTCTATTTCTTCTTGTAAACTCTTTCAAAATAGCTCCAATATCAACATCAATATCGTGATGTTGATTCAGCAAACACAAAACAGAGAGAGACGCTCTTCACCCGTTCTACTTCGAAGATAAGTCTTAATTCTTCTGAGACTGGAAAGGAAACGCTCAGTGGGAGCGCTTGGTGCAAGTGATGAGCATCCAATTATCAACAAAACATTGATATTTAGAAACAAATCTTTGTCTGCTGCGTGAAGGCATTCGATAAGGTTCTTTGGGGCCTCATCAGCTGCAGCTACACTCCATTTATGTCTCCACTCCTTCATTTCGCTTTCTAGTGAAGAGGGAGTGGGCATATCCTCTCTACAGAAGTTAAGCATGGAGTAACTTTCATAAAGCTCGTCACCCGACAGTTTCACAAATGCTGCTGGGATCAATACAAAAACTTCAGAGACGTTTCTGTGTTTAGAACTGAATTGAATGACCATTTCAGTGAGCAACTGATCCTATAAAGGTACTTGGTCATTCTTCAAGTAACTAAAGGGGGTCTCAGCAGATGCATCCTCCCAGAATGACTGCCTGCCCACAGCACGTGCCATGACTACAATTCCTCCAACTTTCTCATTCAGTACAACAGCATATATGTAAACGGTCTCTACGGTATCTAATTCGGTCTCTAAGTTTTCTCGGAAACGCTGAATTCTGTCTATGGAGACATCAATACCCGTGTAAGCATGATAAATGTTCAAGTCACTCTTCTGAATTTTAATGGTAAGTTCTTTGACGGTCTACAATGACTTCTTCGAGATAAGAATGCTGTAATAAAGGCAAAAGATTGAAGCGTATGCAATATTCCTTGTGCTTTTACCCTAGTTTATCTCTCCCACGACCAATCCTCGAAGTTGGTTGGTAAAAGACACCAACATACAGTTCATATTTAGCTTATCTTGAGTTGATAAATGATCAACATTATTTTCTGATAACAGCAATTCACTCAGATCAATGAAAAGAGAGTCGGAGTTTCCAGTTAGAGACTTGGCAGAGGAATGAGACGTTCTTGGACCTGATAGCATGACAGATGGCTGCTCAAACTTACTTGGTTTTGGTATGAAAGAAGCCGAAGGAACATCTGGTTCCTCTTCAACTAAACACTCCTGAATATCATTCTTCTTTTTTACGACTGATACCTCCAAAGCAATCAGGTGTTGGAGCTGTTGGAGTGTCATCATTTTTCGAAGCAAATGTCTCAATATATTGGATTAGAAGTCGATTTACAACACTTCTATGCAATTTATTCTTCTCGTTCTTTTCTGAAGTCTTTCACATTTGGGCATACTTTATCCGAGTTATACACATTTTAAATAATAGTGGTAATGATGAACTACTTTGAACTAACAGGTCATGATATTCTGCTCTTAAGAACTTACACGTGAGCATGAAACACTTGTAAACAAGTAGTGAATATAGCCGATCAGGTATTGTTTTTATTTAATGATTACACACACACACATATATATATATATGCTACAGATTTCTTTTCTTTTTCACCAAAAGTATAAGTGAAAAGAGAATATGTGACGATTGGCTTGATACTTTCCTTGATTGGCCGTACCCTCTGCTGTGGATTGCAGTTTCGACTATTTAAAGCTCATCAGCATCTCTTGGATCATGAAATCCAAAGAAATACGGTTAGGCCACTTATAACGGTGATGTGTATATAAAATTATGTTTTTTTAACTTTTTTATTTTAGGTTACTCCATTGGTGATGGAAAAAAAACTTAAAAACCCTGTAAAGGTTCTTATTTGTTGCCTGACCTAATGACTTCTCGTTTCCATGGCAATTACCATTCAGACCATATTACTGCTTTGTTTGAATTTGTATAGTGACTCATGTATATGAATGGAATTATAGGTTACAGAAGGTCCATCGGAAAACAGGATGACAATTATCGACCTATATATAATAGAATATAAATTTATACAGTATATTATAGATTAGTATAATCTATATAAATGTAATAGTACTGCCTGTTGTATGTTTATGTAATTACTTCGCAGGGTGTGGATGGATCTTCACCAAAATTAGGTCCATGCGGGGGTACATACAAATTTTCAGTTTTGCGTTTTGCGGGCGTTTTTATGGGCGTTTTTTCGATTTTTACCACTACCTCGCCCTCTGTTGATCGATCTTCACCACATTTGGCATGAAGATTTGTTGAGTCCATGCAGAGACACATGCAAATTTTGTGTTTTGCAGTTTTTATGGGGTTTTTTTTTCACAATTACATATAAGGGAAGCAACTTTTCATTAATCACGAATTTACATTACTTTCGTACACGGGACAGGTACTCCAGCTAGTATATAATTATTATAATACAATACATCCTGCCATATACTAACATCATTTGTCCCTAACACACAATGAATCGAGTCAAGCCCAAATGGCGCTCACGCAGGCCCAAAGAAAGCCGAAATCCTGTATTTATATACCTGCGGAGACTGGAAGGCCTTATTATATTGGTGAAGTACGAGCATTTGAGTATGTGGGTATACCTACAAAATCTGGAAGAAAAGTTACAAACCCTCCCAACTCCGCTATCTACCAACACAATACAGAAACAGGACATCCGATTTCTCTCTCGAACTTTAAAGTCCTGTTAACAGCTAAGTATGCAACTGAACTTATGATAAGAGAGACATTGTACAAACAAACTCTTCTTCCGTCTCTATATGATACACATTTTTCATTTGATTTAAATTATATTTTAATATGACTTATTTCATATACTGTTCATTTCCTCTTGTTTTTCTTTTTTGTATTGAACTTGTATACTATTGTTTATTACAGATCACATTTTTGGTGTAATTACCGTTATGTGTTTTTGTACCTCTAGCTTATTGAAGATGAAATTTCGAAAATTCCAAAACGTCTAAGAAATGCTTCACGTAATAATTATGTTCATGTTTTTTTTTATTATTAAGTTAAATATAAATTTTCATTTGACGAAGGAACGAAAAACACCGACGACACTAAGTATGGGGAATGTTTATTTTTAACCTAAATACTACTGTCTTTATATAGCCTTAATTTTTTTTTCAAATTTGCCTAAATTTTTGATGATACCTTTAGTAGTTGTTTTAATGTATCATTTTCATTATTCATTAAAATATAGACTAGCCGTTTCGGTTCTTCACGTTGAGCATATTTGAAATTATATATATATATATATATATATAAAGTGTAGATTATTCATAAAGTTTAACTTCCTAAAAAAATTGATTACAACTTAAATGACAACTATTCATTAGTGTTTTATTTAAGTCCTAGATTGCAGTTTTAATGGTAAACGCTTACAGTATGATTTTTACCTTAGTCAGGGAGGTGCCACATCTAATAGAAGACCACTACTGACGTCTGGTGTGCATTTTCCACAATAACCTCCACATTTGCCTTGAACTACTTCTCTACTCTATGGGAACAAACAAACAAAAATGGTGGTGGAGCCGTATTACCAAAATTCGCAAAAAATGATCTCCTAAGAACTTTCAGTTCTCAATTCAAATTTTTAAAAAAACGCAAATAAACATAGATTACCTTTTTTTACTTATATGCAATGAAATAAAACAAAACTTTTCATTAAACATTCAGACAAATAGCAGGTAAACTTCTATTAACTGCTAAAATTATATTTTATATATATTCACAGGACAATATAATCGTTAAAAAATACAGACTCAAGGTCATTATTAGTAGTTATCCTCCCACTTGAGCGCCCATAAGTATTTTGTAATATGCATCTGAGTATTACAAAACAATCATGTAATATACACTCGAGTGTTTCATAAGTTAGTGTAATATACTGACATCAGAGGGCGCGTTGCTAGGCCGCCATGACAGACGATGACGTAATACTTCCACGAAGTTGAAATAAAGGACATGTTAGTTGGTAACCATGTGAGGTAGCCATAGCAACATAGTTCCACAAAGTGGGGCTAGCACAAATTGAATAAACCTGTCTTAGCATGACTATAATCAATACAGTTAGTATAAAACATTAACTTATTAGTTAATTACATTTCCTGACCATTTATACTTAAATCGTCCTGAAAATGGACGCTTATTTAAATATCATACAATAATTAAAACTTACAGTTTCACTAGTTTGACTTTATGACACCAGCATAACTTGACAAAATATTTCATTTTACACATGATACTTATAGTTTTATCTTACATGAGATTTACAAGGGTGGACACTATACATTGCACATATGATTATGTCATCAATGTATAGATATGTATAATTATGTTAAAACTATTATATTAACAACAATCTTACTGTTCATAGGATTTAACAAATCTGCTGTTATCCGTTATTTGAATGAGTTCAAAACTTACATTTTATTATATAATATAGATGTTTAATCCCTATCACTGAATAACAACACTCACCACCTTCTTTCGTAAAACTTTGGGGACTGAACTTTCTTGGACACATTAAAATATTTTTTTGGCACGTGTGTAATGTTCAACTCTTAAAAACTCACAACTAAAAAAAAAAGAGATTATTTTATTACACATTTCTATAAAAATGAGATTACTAAAATACAATAACTTACTGTAAAGGATAAAAAGTAGGTAAAAAAAGCTTGATCAAACTGCAAAACAATGCCATACACTGTACATATTTCACACTATTGCGAGTGTAATGTTTTGCAAAAAATAACACTTATTTATACAATTATCAAAACACCAATTTTCATATTAAAGAATTTCACGCCATTTGCTGACATCATTTCCATCAGGTCCATCATCCTTATTCAATAATTCAAATCTACTTTTTTTTTTACATTTAATTATCTCAACAGATTCAAGTATATTCATACCAATTACATTTCCAGGTTGTGCTAAAATAACAATTTTTTCCCATTAAATTGTGTGATTAGTTTCACTAACATGTTCTGCTAAAGGTGAAATAGTAATATTATTATTTTTAACATTTCTTTTATGTTCATTCATTCTGAATTTTAAATTTCTTCTAGTTTGTTCTATATAAACTTTTTTACATTCACATAATATTCTATATATGCCAAATGTTTCCGTTAAATCAATTTTATCTTTAGTTGTATTAAGAATTTCGCTGACTTTGTTTACCGGTTTGTATATCGGAAAAATATTTATTTGTTTTTTAAATTTTTTCATTATTTGACAAGATAAACCAAGTATATATGATAGTACTAAACATTCTTTCTTACTTTTTTCAGCAAATGGTTTTAACTTAATATTTTTATCTTTGTTTTTTTAGTTTTATGACAGCTCCGTCAACAACATCTGGATTAAAACCTCTTTCCACTGCTATGTGCTTAATTAACAATAACTAATTATTGATATCATCCTGTTTACAACATAATTTTAATATCCCATCCACATAAGAGTGATTAAACATCTATATTATATAGTAAAATGTAAGTTTTGAACTCATTCAAGTAATGGATAACAGGAGATTTGTTAAATCCTATGAACAGTAAGATTGTTGTTAATGTAATGGTTTTAACATACTTAAATCTAGGCACTGATGAAATAATCATATGTGCAATGTACATTGAGTGGTCACAAGTAAATAGACACCTAATGTTTCGTCATTTAACTGATTT